AATTTTTGTCTACGTCGGAGAGGTCCTCGATAAGATCCCTCGCGCCACCTTCTAAGAAGCCCACTAGGGTGTTTATCTTTAGCTGATCAGGTAACGGGGGATTAACCATACGTATCACGTCTTCGAATTTCCGCAGCCAGACCTCGAAATCGTGGTCGTCATTACCAGAGAAATATTGTAACGGCTTGGGCGCGAGCTGCCCGTAGGTCAGGCCGCAGAGTGTTGTTGGCATTTGGTTGCCCTCCATCGAGGGTCCTACCTGGGCCGAGACCAGATGAGGGAGAGGCTCCCTGATGACTCGTAGGTGTGCTGACCACTGATGGAAGCGGTTGAGGCGAAGAGTCGATAGGAGGGAGAGAGGATGTTGCCAGTTTTTTAGTTGACTTGGATCGAGTAACAGCTGGGGGAATGATGACGGGGTGTGATCGAGAAATTCTCACAAAGTCTAGACGCAGCTAATAGGAGTAATGAAGAGGGTGGCGGCTCTATCTAGTTGGTCTCTAGTGGAATGCCCTTTATCAGTTTCTACCATCAAGTGTTGAGTCATTTATGATGGGAACGGCGCGTTAGAATTCCAGTGTATGTTTGTTTCTTCGCGTTGTTTTAAGAACGCGATGGGAACCGACGCCTTTGTGCTCCGATGTGTATATTGAAACAATGACCCTCGCACCAGACTGGTCGCGCGATAAGAGCCATCGCTAATGCTATGCGCCATGGAATACTGTAGCTGGTATTTGATCACTGGCTAGGAAAAAAATGATGGGAAAATTGGAGAGGAAAGCGGCAAATTCCCTTGATTCGCAAAGTTCAAAATTGAAAAGAGTCACATTGGAGTCTTGACAAAGAATTGCGCGAGGAGCTGGAAGCTTTTAGAAAAAGCCGTGCCATGCAGCTGCAATTTGAAAGGAGTGAATCATGCACGAAACTATTTGAATGTTGGGAAGAGCATAGGAGGCGAAAATGAGTTGAAGAAGGAGGTTGAAGTAGGTCCTGACAAAATATTTACTGCTAAGAATAATGCATATACAGTGGGATTCCCATCTCGTTGTCCCATAACACTTTTCAGCGAGGCATTTGTCAGTTTCACCGAATAAGATCACTCCGCACTATGTGCAAGGGAGGCGTATTACCAAAACGAAACGAGCTCATAATGCAAGAGAAGTTGGCCAGACAGCTCCTGCGAACCCGCACCTCCGATAGCAGTCTCAACTCGAAAGTGAGCGCACGAGTGAGTGCGGCATGGTCTAAATGGCGATCCATGTCTGGGATCCTTTGCGACAAGAAAATGCCAGAGCGTTTCAAGTCAAAGATCTATCGTACTGTCGTCCGACCTGTCGCGTTATATGGTGCCGAGTGCTGGCCCGCGACCAAAGAAGTTGAGGCTCGCCTTGGTGTGATGGAGATGAAGATGTTGCGCTGGACGGCGGGCGTCACGCGATCGGACCGCATCTGTAATGATGTCGTGCGCAAGAAGTATGGTGTA